AAGGCGGACATCGACTGCCACATCTACTGACCAATACCGCCATACTGCCGTGACGATCCAGGAACGTTTTTACCAACGACCCATATTACGGATCGGGAACTTAGAAGTATTTGTTTTTGGATATCTATTTGTATACTCCTTCTCTGCGAAATCTCTCTCTGCGAATTCTCCCTCAGAGAAATCTCTCTTCTAGAGATCTCTCTCTCGTCTCTTAACTTAGAGAATAGAGATTAGATGTTTCATAAGAAAGACGAATCATTGTCGCAACATAGAATAGAATTTTGTAGATCTTCACCTTAGCCTTTGATATGTACTATTTTATAGTTGTTTATTAAATGTGTTATTTTTGTTCAACCTGTGTATTCATTTGGGAACCTGTCAACTTACTCACTTACCTCCCCACTCAATTTTATTTTGCCCTCCTATAAAGCCATCCTCTGACAGAGCCGCCGGTAAATGGGACAACTAATGACAACTAACCCCCTCGGTTCTCACAATTGCAAATAATGTAGTAATTAAATCTAACTGTGGATTCTGACTACAGGACCTTGTGATAAAACCAGATACGACAGTAAATCTTGGTCAGAATTTTGCGAAAGTATTGGGGCAGACTGTGTAGAAGATTACAAAGTCACTTGCAAATGCTACAATGGATCGAAATTTGAGGATAATTATTGCAAAGGTGAGTCAACGTTTTAATGATTATGCATAACTGTGCAGATAATTTTAATTACAATGGTAATTGCAAGTAATGTACGTAATTTAATCCAACTGTGAATTTTAATTACAGAAACTTGTGATATAATCATATATGCCGGTAAATCTTGGTCAGAATTTTGTGAAAGTATTGGGGCAGACTGTGTAGAAGATTACAAAGTCACTTGCAAATGCTACAATGGATCGAAATTCGAGAATAATTTTTGTAAAGGTGAGTCAACGTTTTAATGNCTCAGATACCAAGATATGCTACGAAGGACATCAAGGCTTTAGTGATTGCAACAGGAGAGATGCAGTGTGTTTACATAATTTTGATAACGAAATTGGTTATCAATGTGAATGTAGACCAGGATATAAGAAGTCCAAAATAGGAAAATGTAATGGTATGTGCTTTGTATCTGTAGACCTTATATACACTAATTTTGCAGTTGTCTTGGTTCTATCGGTTTGACAACCGGATGGACAAGGCGTTTGAATATCTTAACAGAATCTCTTGAAAATAATAATTTGTAATTTATTAGAAATTACCGAATGTGACGAAGGGGAAGTCGGTTTTTTAGAATGTAATATCAAAAATGCAGTTTGCGTGCGGGATGTCAGCAGGTATAAGAGATACTTTTGTGTCTGTCCGGAGAATTACGCTACGGATCGAAGTGGTCGATGTCTGAAGAAGTATCATGGTAAACTTATCGTTAGCATACAAATATCAATTTTACAAATTTATTTAAATTAGGAATTTTAATATTTTTAGGTATAACGAATAAGAAGAATAACGAAATTAATATAATTAGCGATAATGGTATGTACTAAACTCTATTAATTCAATATTGTTTGATTATATATAGACATGTTTTGTATATATGAACAATAATATTATTTATGTATTAAGATCCGTGTCAGAAAGGAAACGTAGGATACGAAAAGTGCTTAAAGGAAAATGCAATTTGTATTGTTCCAACGAAAAGTAATTCGTTTTCGTGTCATTGTCGCCCAAAGCAAAGAAAAAATTCGAATGAAACTTGCACAGGTAAATTAACTTTAAGACAAGAACGTTTCTATAAGTGAATAAATGTAATCTACATTACAGATTTGAATGTTTGCCAGCATGGAGAACTCGGTTACAAAGAATGTACACTGCTCTCCGCTAAATGTGTAAAAGCTGCAAGTTTGCAAAAAGGTTATAAATGTAAATGTACAGAAGGAGAAACAGTTGATCCCTCTGGAAGATGTATCAAGTTGTAGATAACCTTTAACTGAAGCAAATACATTATATTAATATATTGGCATTTAT